CCCCCCCCCCCCCCCCCCCATTCCGTTCGTCACTTAGGGTTCACCGAAACGTAACATCGTCAGCGTTGCGAAGGAAGGGCGGCATGAGATGGCGAAGGCCTTCCGAGAAGGGCTGCTGCCGCATGGAGACGATGACGGCGGGACCGGGCACACCGGCGCCGACCGCTCGGCCTCGGGGCAGATGCGATGACACGGTGCCCGCGTGCAGAACATTTCATGGGGGGGGCGAGGGAGGGGGGGGGGGGCACGGGAACCCCACAGTACAATACCGAGGGGGTCGGATAACACGGGGCCGCCGCAGTACTTTCCTGGTCTCCAGAGGGGGGAGGGGCATCGGATATCACGGGGCCCCGGCAGCACCATCCCGGTCTCAAGGGGGGGAGGGCGGGGGGCGTCGGTTAACACGGGCCCCTGGCAGTACCATCCTGGTCTCCGGGGGCGCGTCGGACAGGAAGCCCCCGGCCCTGGGACCCGTGCGCCCGTGTTTTTGTCGCTGACGCGTGCGTCGGCGTAAGGAAGTGGCATGGATTTTCGTAGCTGTGGAGGGCGGCGGAGGCGGTGTTGAAAAACGGAAAATTCGGCTTCTTTTTTTTTTTTTGTGGTGGCGTTGCTGGTGCTGGTGACGCTGGTGCTGGTGCTGTTGCTACGGCGAGGGCAACTACGACTGGGTTGTGGAGTGGCACGGTGTGGAGGAAGAAGGGCGACAAGAGACGACTGGTCCAGGTTTGTTTCTGTGTTGGTGACCGCGCCGTGTTGCTTTTCCGACTGTCCGGTAGGCAGCAGCAGCAGCAGCAGCAGCAGCAGCATCAGCAGCAGACAAAGAGGCAGATGTTCGTTCTCCCTAGTGTGAATGCGAGGCCTCCCACCTCAGGTGCCATGTTTGGTTGTGTTTTGGCTAAGGAAGAGAGGCGACACCGCTACGTATTCGGACTTGTCTGATCCATGCCCCGGTTGGCTTTCTACGTCGCGTTGGTCGAGCGGGATAGAGATAGGTGGGTGGGAGCGTGTTTGAAGTATCTTTTCAGGTAAGGGGTTCGGTAACGAGCCGCTGCTGCGCCTGTCGCTCTCTTTATCCGTGTCTACAAAAGTGTGCGCTTCGAGGCAGCACGCGGAATATTTGTGTGGGTGTGTTTCTTAATTATTGGCATGGACCGCGCTGACCCATCTACGTGCGGTGTGTTGTGTGTTTCTTTATTTGGCGTCGACCACGCTAGCCATCAGGCTTGCCTGTTGTCCTTTGTGAATGTGTGTTGTTTTTTATTTCTTCTTCTGGCGTGCTTTGAGTGAAGAAGTCGATTTTCTTGCTATAGACTAAATAACAAACACATTCTTTGAAGAAAATGACGTCGCGCTTAGCGCCATGGCTCATCATTTACCTGCTGGTAATTTTTCCAGGCAGAGAACCCCTCAGGTTGGTTCTATGATACGGAGTGCAAACACCCCCAGCGATGCCATATTGGCTTCCAAAAATTATCATCGGGTGTGTTGCTCCCTGTGTGCGGGTAGATTATGTCGCCCTGTTTCTAATCTGAGAATTATGAAGGTGTTTTGAAAACACTGTGTGTGATACAGGGGTTCGTTTTTTTTTTGCCTTCTACATGGGTGTGTTGCCTTGTGTACGGCATTCCAAGTCTTGCCGATCGGTTTCCGTCGTGGTATCGATCGATGGTAAGGAAGTCTTTTTCACGTTGACTGCGGAGGAAGCTTGTTCATCGGCGAGCCGGCTACATGTACACAATGTAACAATTCGCCGCACGATACAGCTTGTTTTTTTTTGTTTCGGAAGATGACGCTCTTCGTTTACTAATGTACGAACTATTCGCCCCCCACGGCATTCTGTGCAAGATGTTCTTTTTTTTCATCTCCGCCCCATGTATTCCGGGCCCCAGCGTACACATTTCGGTAGCTGTTATGATCGGCAATGGGCAGAGGAACGGCGAGTGTGGGTCCGAACAAACAGGAGCTAAAGCCAAGTGCGTCTGGAGTATTTCATTGCAATTGCAGTCCAACAAAGGAGGACTAATGGACCATGCCCTCGTGGCTGCTCGGTTGAATCTGATACCGCTTTACACACTGAGGGCTGAAGACTCGGCGAAGCCCGCCTGAACATAGGTAATCCGTTCCGTGAACTACGTTGTGGATAGAGCACCGATTTCCAAAGCTCGAGCTCCCTACCACACCCAGCAAGAACACCACATTGGCGACGTTGAGAACATCTCGCCAAGATCTTTCTGCCAGCGCATTATTTTTTTTTGCGAAAAACACAACAAATCGAGAGTACTTTGGTTACGGGGTCCGTCGTCGTGGGGTAATCGAACGTTTTGAGAAAATCGATAAAAAAGTGGTACAACAGTATTCCCAGCAGCGCGGGAACCTCTCGTTGCCGCAATACATAGGACGAAGTCATCCCCGTTTTATTAGTGTCAGCTGGGAGCTACCGCATAGCTGGTTGTATCAGCCATATCATTTGCGAACGTGGCCGTGGTGCATTGTAACAGACATGCGTGAGCGATGTTCCTGTTCGACTTCACAAAAACACAAAACATGGCTATTCGACGATTTATTTTCGAAACGTCTGTTTTATTTTTGTTTCGGATCCACCGCCGCCTCGTGCTGAGCTGCTGCCGGGAGGGTGAGGTGATTGCACAGGTGAGAATACAGCCCACACGGACTGTGTAAGGAGAGGCAATTTTTGGCGTCGAAAACGCACCCGATTGGATACAGCCATAGAGATAGCAAGGGGGATGAACTACTTTGCGCTTGACCATCAGGATCTTGCTACCCCGCACAACCATCTGCACACCCAGGTATGTACTGCTGTAGTACACAGCGAAGGACGTCCCAAATCCGCCCGCCTTTTGGCGTTGAGGTTGTGTGCTTCTGCTTCAGGAACAAGATTGGATGAAGGTCGTGCTGGTGTTCACATATCCCAGGCTATCCTACCCACATCAGATCCGACATGTTGATGTTTGGAGACACCCATCTTTGTACTGTCAGAGAGACACCCCAGGACCCCACCCAACATGGTATTATTCGCTGACAGCAGTCTGCATACGGTACAGTACACAGAGAGGGCGTGATGTTGGTGACACGTTTTGAAATCGCGTCGAAGGTTGACGTGACAAATGCCGGCGTATGTGTACCGCAGGAGGGACTCCACACGTCGGATACTGTAACGTAGAATCATGCTTTTTCGGACATCACTCTGTGCAATAATTGCGTGCCTACGTGTAACCCGCAGAGAGATCGCAGCGCCGCCGTTGTAGGCGCTCTGACTATCATTTGGTGCGGACGCTGAGCGAGCAGACTTCGCAGCAAGACGGACACAGTCCGAAAGACGTTTAGTGGAGACGCCAGGGTCCACGCGGAGGGCGTGCTTGACAGACTTTCCGGCCTCCGCCCCGTTCACGTCTCCCTTCAAGAAGTACGTGAACGTTCACCTTCTGTAGTTGTCTTCTTGGACTGAACACAGAGTGGTTGCTGCTACGCACATATTTATCTGAATGATATCTGGAACGAATAGGTTGAAGTATTGAACCGCCACACGGTGGACCTGCCGGAGCGAGTGGCCGGCCTGCCCAGGGAGCTGGAGAGCCGCGAGAACGACATTCCGTACGACTACGACCTCTCCCTTCAGGACCCCCAGGACAGGGCGAGTTTCAACAACTTTTGTGGCGCGTGTTTTCGGTGGTAGTGGTAGTATTTTCTCCACAAGTCTCATTGAGTTGTTTCGATACGTCTTACAATTCAGACTACTGTATGATGATCCCCCCTCTCACCGTGATGATCCTATCTCAGAGGTGTTCACCTTGCTATTAATAAGGCAAAGTATCCCGTACGGCTCTGCCGTAGAATTCCCACAATGTTGGTTTCCCTTTTTTGGGCCATGTTGCGGAGACCAACCCCAAATCTATGCCAGCATATATATGAACCTTATTGTACCCTGTGCTAACACCTTATCACTATTTTTTCTTGGCGTATCCAAAACTTAGGTCATCCACAACAGCATCGTCGAGCTCGAGGTCACCGTTCTCTCTGCGGTGCAGAGCCCCCCCATCGCCTTCCTCAGGCGCGACTCGCAGGCGAAGAAGGAGGAAGGTGACCGTCAACAGGCCCCGCCGTCCCAACAGAAGCCGAAGGAGAGCGAGGCAGGGCTTAAGGTACATTGATGGAAATATCCTGCTATACTTTACGCTTTCGTAGAACACGATAGAGTCTCGAGAGGAAGACGAGGGCGTTGTTGTCGTGCGGGTAGAAAATCAATGACCCCCGATAGGCACTATTTTCTTAATAAGCACTTACCGCAGGTCTTGAGAACAAAAAGCGCCCGGCTAGAAACGTCAAGAAGCGGGAGTAGAAACGAAATACCCAGCGGTTGAGTCACACCATATCCAGAACCTAGAACGGCCCCTATCGCCTTGAACGCACCCCCTCCCCCATGTTCCCATGCCCCGGCTTTGTAGGGATGCGAGGTCAATGGTCTAACGACTACGGCATGCACGTTTATGAGTCCCCCTATGTTTTCTTGGCAACCTGCACAATGCAGGAAAGAGAGCAACAGGCGTCTGGTGCTGCAGCATACTGTGGCGGTCAGCTTGAGCTCGACCCTCTGCCGATCCTCTCTAGTCAAAAGCCTCTCGCGGGGGCTAGGGAAGACACCGCTAGCGTGGGACAAGTGGACATAAGGATTTCGCCCTCGGAGGTGTAGCTGCACCTGCAGCAGCCACAGGCGCCGCCGCCGCAGCAACAGCATTGATTCTTGTGGACACCTTCTTCTTTCATTGGCAAACGATCTAAAGGTCGGGCCAAAGCGTGGGAGTTATCGTGTGGTTGTGTCCGCGTCCAAAGGATCTGACTGTTGAGGCAAATCATAGGTGGGTGTACTCTCGCCAGCCCAAGGGCAGTGCATTTTGAGGTTCTCGAAAGCAATCCCGCCCCCTCGGCACAACGAAACCAAGGATTCCCGGAAATTGGTTGCTATATCAACAAAGGACTTGCAAATCGCATTGAGGAGGAAACACGGATCTATTTGTTGTGGTGTCGAGACTGCTTGTAGAAGTCCTCTAAAGCAGTTGTCAAGCTGCCTCTGTCGGACATTTATTGGGACGTACCGCCTTCGGGAGGTAGGGTAGCGGTGCCACAGGATAGCGAAAGCAGCGTTGCTGGGGTGTTGACGTTATTGGACTTGAAGAAGGTCTTCAACTTTTCTTAACTCCGTGTTCGTAAGACTGGCCGGCATTGCAAGGCGTGGAAGTACGGTCTGACCGGGGGAAGTACAAGCCCAAATCAAGAGTACGCGCGTCAGCTAAAACAACAAGAAACAGCGACAACTTGTCGTGAGTAAGCCAGCAGCAAGGAACACGCCGCCCCCGGTCGCGAGACGACGGTGCATCCAACGAGCAGGAGAAGCAGCGGTTGTTTCTCCCGTTCGACTTGGATCTCGTTTAAAGGGGGAGTGGCTCTTGAGCGAAGCTCTTGAAGTCCTGATACGGGGTTGGTCAGGACCACTACCGGGAATAGGCGTTGATGCAAAAAGCTCGGCGGTAGCATGGGTGATGCCAAAGGGGGTGAGGGACGGCACTCCCTTTGGCAGTCGCGGCGGGGGCTGTTGCAGCAGCAGCAGCAGCAGCGCCCCCTTTCAGCGCCCATTCACGGCCGGGACCCCCTGGTCTCACGGCCACCCGAAGGGGGCACTGAGGATCGACGGTGGCAGCAGCAGCCGCCGAGGCAGCAACAGCGGCGACGGCCCGAAACAGCAGCGTCAGAGAGGCGGTCGGACGGTGCGGGGTGCTGGAGCCGCAGTAGACTTTGGGGGGATGTGGGTGTGGGGAAAGGGCGGCAGACTCTCGGGTGCTTGCAGGCTCGTTTGGCGAAGGTGAGAGCACTTAGGCCTGTGTCTGGAACAGAGAGGGTTCGAGACGGAAAGTACATGAACAACGATCTTCAGGAGCTAACCTGTCATGTAGGGTAGGTTCCAGGCTGTAGCGCAAGGGGGGTGTACTCATAGTCGTGCATGCCGTAGTCGTTAGACCATTGACCTCGCATCCCTACAAAGCCGGGACGGAGCACGCCGGGTTCTCACCGGACCAGGCTCTCACATCACCAAGCGCGAAGCGCCGTGAGATACTCGGCGAGTCGCATGAAGGGTGCGCTGCATCCTGCTAAGGGTGTTCGGCATCTTGTGCTTACTTCCTTGCGTACGGATGACAGCTGCGTATGGCTTAATTTATTTTCTGGTGCTTCCACTTCCTGAGACAGTTGTAGTCGCTGTGTAACTGCTTCGAGGGTGCTTGACCATTTTAACACAACGTGGTGCGATCATTCCCCTTGCGCGGAGTGAGGGCTCTCCAACCCGCACAACATGATCTACTCGACCACCATTATGGTTACCGCCAAAAAAAAAACCGGAGGTAAAAAATAAAACGGTAACCTGGTTCCCGAGCTCACGAAGTGAATTGGCTTGTGGGTGGGCCAAAGGCAGGGAGAGTGTTTTGCTCAAGGGAAGCTGGACGTGGGGTAACAGAGCTCTTGGTACTGTCTGTCCACCATGTATCGTTTCGGCGAACGTGAGACAGTGCAGTGCACCCCAATGAGCTACGCAGAGGACAAGCAACGCGTCGGTACCTTAGGTATCGATGTCACGGCCCAAAACCAGTGACCACCATTCTGCTCGCTTTCCGGGTGGGAGCTATGCATGAATCGGGGAGATTTTCCGCTTGTGGTGCGCATGTACACCGTAGAATAAGACCAGGGTCGTGAGAGTAGCACAGGGAAGGTGGGGCGACGCTCACCGGGACGAAGACAAGGCGGTTCCCTACTCCCGGACAGCATAGACGACCCACGGATTGTTCATTTTGTCGACGGTAACCGCAGCGTGATAGGTGCTTCCAGAAGGCCGGAGGTCTCGCTCTCTCCCTTTCACGATTGCGGGTGGGTCCAAATGGATCCCACCAAGCCAGGCATTATCTAACCCAGCCGCAGTCTCCGTCGAGTAGATAAAAACCTCGCTTGCCTCTGACGTACTCCGCCGCTCATGCGTGACGTTTTCCGCCCCCCTCGCCAACTATCTAGACGGTCGAAGGCTCGTCGAACTTTGTGGACGACATCAGGCGGCTCCGGAAGGCAGGCGGCCTAAGAACCGAACGAAACCCTGCTTCCAGTGCTGCAAGGCGAGGACAACGAGGAGGAGGAGGAGGAGGAGGAGGAGGAGGAGGAGGACTG